AATATTGGATAATAGTTTCTTAGGCCTGCCAGTCATCCCACATTGTCTACTTGCATCCATTTTTATTAGCATTAGTATTTACATTGCATAATTATCTGCCCATTACAATGGCAAATAAATATGGTATCATAAAACTCATAATGGTTTTGGATTCCTTTGTGACCTTAGTTCAGTAAGAACTTGGGGAGTAGGAGGGTCTACAGCTTAATGGTACAGTACTTCTCTATTTGAAGAATCCTAGGTAGATTTTTTGAGGTAGAGATGAAAGCTGAGGAACAGGTAAAGTATCAGGTAGCAATCAGTGGAAAACAAAAACCAAAACAGAAATCCTGCCTAAGAATCTGGAATGTAAGGCTGACCAAAGAACAATAATTGGACCAAACATTCATGAAATTGATGGAAGTTCACAAAATCACCAACCTCTCAATTTTTTCTATAGATTCTTTAATTAAGTCTTTAGTTCTGTAAAATCCAGTGTTTTTACCTGTACACATCTCCTAATAAATGAATTCTTGCAAAATGTTCTTTTTTAAAAAAGAAAATCCAAATTAAAAAAAAAAGTCTTTGTCATGATCACTGATATAAGAAAGGATGCTTAATCCTCCCATAAGGAGAGTGCACAACATAGAGTTGATTAAGCAGAGTTAATTTGACACTGAGCAAGGTTGAGTTTATTTGGGACTAAACTAACCCCCTTGCATTTGACTGACTAGGTCAGTTTACACATACTTGGTGTTTCCATGATACCCTAATTTCCCTCTCCTCCCCCAACTGATTTAAATAAATTAGTTATGGGAACAGAGTTGTTATTTTACTTATTTATTTACTGATTTTATTAACTAGACTTATAGTGCTACCCAACTCAAACAATGTGACTCTGGCATACAGCATGAAAACAAACAATAAATAAACAAACAAAAAACCTTCAAACCACATAACATGAAAACATGTAAAATATCTAAATTTAAAATCCAAGATATAAAATAGCAACCAAGCACCAATATAAAATAACAACCAAAAGGAAACTCCACTCAACTGGCCCCCAATGCCTCGGGACAAAGCCAGGTCTTAACAGCTTTTAATCTCTATGTCACTAATATTTTTCTCTATCACTCTATTGTAATAAGGTACAAGGATGGGCAGATAGCTTTTATCAAAGATTTGAACTCTTGCAACAGAGTTTTGAAATTAGACTTGTACAAATAAAGACAGAAAGACTTGGATGGAAGTACAGATAAGTTCTTAAGTCATATTTGGAGGCCCTGCTCTGGACACCCCTACCAAGTGGGGGGGGGGGCTGTTTATTGAATATTTATCTCAGAAAAGTTATTAAGATGGCTGTGGTCATTTTAATAACTTTTTAGTACTAGACCTTCCTATTGCTTCATACTCAGCTTGTTGTGGATGTCATCTACCCTAGAACAATAGGGTATTTGTATTTTTGTATGTGCTTTGTATTTTTTGTATTTTTCCTGTGCTACCCAGTAATTTCATGTTATACTTGCTATTGTTTTACTTAGGGTTTCTTTGTCTTTTGATATTATTAGAAACTCTTGAATGTTTTGATTAAACACAGAGTCTTAAGGACTCACCAAATTTGCTATACATAAGATATTGTGAATCACAGCCTATTTTATCAGAAGGATGGAAAATGGGACTGAAAGAGGAAGAATGCTTATGTGTATACGTAGACCCAGCCACCCACAGCTACCCATTTATTGTGTGGGGAAGGGAGAGATACACACAGAGGTAAAACTAATTTACAGTGGGAAAAGATTTTATTGCTGTGATGTGATATACTGTTTTTACCATTTTAGGATTTAATTATTCAACTGCTGTTTTAAAATGTACTGTGGATCTTTTAATTGGTTTTTCTTATATCATTTAAGTCCCGAAGAATTGTTAGATGGCAGCAAGATATAAATGTAAGGAACAAACAAAAACATAATAGAAAATATGACTGCGACAATTGTGCTTTGTCGAAGTGCTTTGAGAAATGTGAATCTGACATGTCTTCAAACAAGGGCTACAAGTTACATTTTTGGGGGAGAGGGGTGTAGATGAGACAGAATGGGTAGGGTTAAGATAAGGACACAAAGTGGATGGACTATATCTTGAATAAAGCCACAGCTTTCTGTTTTATTTCCTTGGGGAAACGTTCTTTGTTTCGGTTACCATGTTAAACCTATTTTGGCTTACACTACTGAAATTCAGCAGTGCCACTTAAAGGGAAGCGTACATGATCTCTGTGACTCAGGTTGCCCATTCCTGTCTTAGAAGGAAGAAATTTTACTGATTGCTGAAAATATGAACTGAACTGCTAAACTGAACTGCTAAAATGATGTGAAACGAGCTGAAATATTTTCAGAAAAGATAAAGTGCCATGAGGGGTAACAGAAGCAAGGAAATAAACTAGCATTGCAAACTGTTTTTTCCCCCCTTCATTGCAAACATTTCTGGATGAAAAGATAAAAAGGAGATGTATGCCCCCAGCAAGGGACAGAATCTGTAATCTCTTGTTTTATAGTTATACATTGTTGTTGTTCTTGGTGGTTATATTAAAAATAACAGAAATCTAACTCTGTGGTTATGGTTTTTTTCCATTTTCCTATATGGTAGGAATATGAGACAGAAATTGTCTGAAGAATCAGACTTCTCCAGATGATAGTGGCTGATCTCACCCTCATAAGAGCACTAAAAAAAATCCTTTTAAAAAGTGGGCATTGAAAGTGGAAACAACATATCCCTTGTGAGGAGCGCATGACAGACAGTTAACTTATTTATTTCTATTTAACACACTTCAGGCTTTCTGATTTTACAGCATTACATGTACTGAACTCTTTAGTAAAGTGGGGGTTTCTCATTTCAGTCTAACTGCTGTTAATTTGTTCCAAATGTTAACATTGCAAATAAGGGTCTGGTTACCATCTCAACATCAAGTCAATAATAGGAACAGAACTGATCAGCATCTGGTTTAGTTCAGAGTTAAAACATACTCCCAGCACTACAAAATTTGGACTGGAAGATCCTGGCCATTTTAGGGCCACCAAGCCCTCCCCCCATGAAAAGAACAGACCCCTCCCCAAACAGCATGTGTCATTATTTATTGCTTGATATGTTCTATCACATATCTAAAATATGGACTATCACATTACTAATTTTGCCAAATTCCAAAATATGTAAACAGGCCAAAACCTCTTAGCATAAATTATAGAAGAGCAGCCTTAATGATAATTTTAAAAAATTCATGGCTGTTGCTTTCCGAAGTTGGAAAACCATTTAAAAAAAAAAAAAGCACCATAAGAGACAAAATTTTGAAGTTTCTAATTTCATCTCTGCTGCAGGCAACTCCTACCATAGATGTATCATAGTATACTTGGCACTGCCCCTTTGTGAATAAACTTGAAAATGAGTTTAATTATGAATCCAAATTTAACCTGAAAATGAGTTTTCTGCCCCCTCCAAAGAAAAGAAGGAAGGAAGGAAGGAAGGAAGGAAGGAAGGAAGGAAGGAAGGAAGGAAGG